CCCCCTTTTCCTACTGTCCCCAACATTAGCCTTTTCATGATATTTCATTCATTCTCAATTTGTATAGCTTGTTTTCTCTGATTTTATCTCCTTGTGATTTTTCTCTGTAATTTTCAGTGTTCTTTCCTTTCAGATTCCATACTTCAATTCTTCCATCCATCTTCCTCTCTGCAGTCTTTGTTTTCCTTACCACAGTATCCAGAATCAGAAATCCATGTCGATTCCTCACCACTTTCCTGGGATGACCTTGCTGTTTGAGCCTTTTCTTACCTCTTTGACTGGTCAAGATATAATTGATCTGACTTGCTCTGATGACCCTTATATGACAAGGTGCTCTTCTGCTTTCTAAAATGGAGTATCAGCAATGAATTGATCCAAGTCTTCAACCACTACCTCTATCCTCATCCTAACCATCCCATTCCCTTCATACATTGCCTCAAATGCTTCATTTCTTTCTCCAGTATATCCATTTGTGTCCATTCTCATTGTTATATTTTTTTTTTCCTGTAATCATCTTTGAAAGTTTCTCTGTAGTTTCTGTCTTTTCCCTATGGCCCACTTGTGGTACATAGTTTGATATAAAGTTTAGCATCCCCTCTGATGTTGCTAACATAACTGCCGTTGGCAGTCATTTACTCTTATAACCTCAGTAATGTTGTCTTTAAAGCTGCTATGGAATATTATCCCAGCTCCATTTCTTTTTCCATCTTTTCCACTCCATAATATCTTGTATCATATTCCCAGTTTATTATGTCCTGTTCCTTTCCATTTCATTTTTTTACTCAGGCTTTTTACACTCTCCTTTTTCCCCAAGTAGTTCACCATTTGTCTGTTGTTGCATATAAGACTCCCATTATGCAGTGTATTGATTCTCATCACTAATGACACTTGTTTCTTTTATTTCACCCATTGATCATGTGGGACACCTCACTACTTGCTACAGCAAGCAAGGGGTGTCACTGAACATTCATTCTACAGAACACCCTGAAATTGTTCACCTTAGGCTTGAAGTCTGTATCATCAGTATTTGCTTGGATGGATGCAGTTGAAAGCAGTGTACTTATTCTTCAGTCAAGACTTTATTTGCAAGGTAGCCAGGGTCTGAATTTGGAGTTTTTCTTCTCTTAAAGTGGTTGGTAACTAGGCTACAGTTCACCTGCCCTGAGCAGTCTATTTTTAGGACCCCAGGCACCTGCCTTTTGGAGCACTTTTACATGAAGGCCAGTAGTAGGAGTTTGGTTAGAAGAGACCGTGTGTTACACTGGTCTTACAAACCTTTTTATAGAGAATAAGAACTTATTGCAATACTTCTTTTGACACAGTTCATCAGCAGTCTTACTGCTGATAGCTAATTATTAGAGAGTTTCTCCTAAGTTAAAAGAACACAGGATGGCTATGCCCTGTAGTCCCCAACCACAACACTGGACCATCCCTAAATTCCACTGAAAGAAAAAATATATTCGATTATTTATTGAGAGTGAAGAGAGGAGCTAATAATAGAAAACTAAGGTAAAAATGTTTTCATTTTCTTTGTGAGGGCAATAAATGTACCATACCTGAGTACACAGTGGACTTTGAAGGCATCCAAACCCTTTAAACTGGTCACAAAACTGTAATGACCGTCACCTTACCATTTCTCTTTATATCCCTGAATATTAATATACGGGATTTTTTTTTTATCATGCCAGTAATTTAAAACAATAGTTGTCTTGCTCTTCCTTCCAATAGTGATGAATTATTAATATAATTGTCTAAAATTTCTTCAGTAAGACCGGTTGAAAAACCAAATGTACCAGCCAATTACTAATTATAATGGAATGTATTTTTTCTGTAGACAATCGTGTAGGCAATTGTTACCTGAAATACGGACCCCGAGGGGATGGAAGCCTATCCTGCAACACTGAAATTGGAGTTGGAGTCAGTCGTTCTTCATGCTGCTGCTCTTTGGGAAAGGCCTGGGGGAACCCCTGTGAGACTTGTCCCCCTGTAAACAGCAGTAAGGAACTGTTTTTAAACTATTCTAACTGTAAAAGGTGCAAAGATGAAAAGTACTACCAAAAATCTTGCAAATTTCCTTCATTTGGTTGCATTATTACATCCTTATTTACTGAAGGAAGTTTTCATCCTGTTCTAAGAGGTCATACATAAGCTCTGGACCAGAGAGTCAAGAGAGGTCTCTTGTGTTACTAATTCTAAATCTGTCTCAGAACCTGTTTCTATGTCACTGGAGCGAATAGGAACCTTACCACTGCCTTCACTGTGACTGGGATAAAGTTCTCACTGGGTAGCCTCGAGCACATCATTTTCTGTGTTTTACTTTGCTCATATGCAAAAATGGAGATAACTGGTAAGGCATAGCTCATCATGTCACAATTGCTCAGAGGTCAGATTCTAATTGGCCTTTAAGGCACCTTCACTTAATGAAAGCAACATCAAAAATGTAAGCACCTTCCCCGCGGAGGGTAATCCAAGTGCAAGATTAGACATGTACACAATGAATGGGAAGATTTAGCTGCCTCCCAAGGGTAATCCCAATCACTTAGGTACTTAACAGGAAAATGTCTGTGGGTAGCCAGTGTGAATTCTAGGGACAGAATTCTAGTGTTGTGTCTGGACTCCTGCTTTTCCTCAGAGTTTAGGTGAAGTGCTTCTGTCATGTCAGATTGCTCAGAGAGGAGATGTCTATCTGAAGCAAACTACCCCAACTGCAGCAGCACTGAGTTCACCCCACATTCATTCTTGAACACTGGTGATGATGGTTTTTTGCCCAATAGTCTAGAAGTAAAATGGCTTGCCCAGGAAGACAGAAACCTAGCTTACCTCACCCAAAGGGACTGAAACACACATTTCAGCTCCCAAAAAGTCCCTAACCACCAGATGTAAGGCTAAGGTGTGCAGTGGCCCCTCTGAATAGCCAAGTGTGCAAGAATGATGAAAACTGAAGAATTACTGGTAAAAGAGAGCCTTCGTCTACAGTTTAGCACAGACATTCTCGCCCCAAGAGCTGTGAGATTCTTTTAAGGGTGCCATGGGGTGCTGTGTAATATTAGCATTGTAGATGCAAACACCTACAAATGATTCACAAGATATACCCAGAGATTTCCAATAGGAATCCATAGTGTCAAAAAAAATTCTGACCTGATGTGGTCTTTCTGAGTTCTTTGCAAGAGAAGAATTCACATATTATTTTTCTATAGTCAAAAGATGAGTGAATGCAAAGAGCTGGCATTTACTGAGGGGTCTAAAAGGTTGCCTGGAGTCTAAAGAGATCAAGAAGCACTAGCCTAGTGGTTATGAAACTCAAGTAGGAGGGTAGAGTTTCGGGTTTTGCCCCCTGCTGGCAGGGCTATTTCTGTTTTTAAACTGCTGACTCTAATGTTAAATGCATAAAAGGTCCAGGGAGTCAAAAAGGAGGAGTGTTAATCTTTATATGTCTCACATTGCCTCCTGAGCAAGCCTGGAACTTCTGGCAAGAAACAAGCTCCATTTACTTGCTCCTACCCCACAATCCCAGCAGTTTGTCAATGAAGATGACTTAGTGGGGACCTGAGCTCCCACCTGCACACCCACTTCTTATACATGTGGAACACCATAAGCCTGACATCAGGGGAGAGACTGCCTGGTGTTAGTGCCTGAGGAATTTAAAAAGTGGTCATGCAGCTGGGAGTCCCTGCTGCCCACTGTGTTTTAAAGGTGCAGAGTATTGTGAGCCTTTCACAGGGCCATGCACACCTTTCAAAAATGTATGTGCAACAGGGCACCATGAGCCTAGCATTGGGGAGAGGTATACTGATATCAGGCTCACAGTACACCCTGATCTACCTCCAGGGATTGGGTAGGGGAGGAAGCAATGAGGGCCAGGACTCAGTGTTGCCCCAACCTGATCCCACTGATCAGGCAGAGGACAGTCCTGGACCCCAGGACTGTCCCATGCCCAATCGTGATGCTCAGCTGAGCATTAGGATCCACCAGGGCAGCCATGCTGTACATTCAGTTTAAGGTGTGATACAAACTAGCCCCAAAGATGTTGTTTGTTTGATATATGATCACACCATAACTTGGTTTTAATGTGTATCATGTTACAATTTATGATGTAATTTACACGCCAGTCATGCCATAAATGTAATGTCTGCCAGGGGGTTGGAAAAACGGTGTGACAAGAATGCTAAGCAGTTTTGTTTTCTGGGTTACAATACTATAAATTCTGATTTTACCAACAATTCAGTAATGAGTCTTGAGGTAGTATCTAAATGACCCAAGCAGGGTGGGAGCCCCTTTAAAAAGGCACTATACACAGAAAGTACAGTCCCTGTCTAGAGTATCTTACAGCTTATTGCTGATGAAGGCTTCATTTATATATGTTTTCCTTCTTATTTTAGGTTCCCATCCTACAAAGTCTTGGGGTCTTTCTTAATTTTACATTGTGTATAATTCAGTGAGGTCAATGGGATTGCTTCTAGTAGTACTTGTAGGTCAAGGCTTTGCCATATAAAATCAAATCAAGCAACAAGTGAAAATGCCAATGAAATGGTAATTCATAAAATACATTTTTACACTAGTGTTTTATTTCTTATATAATTAAAATTCCTTTTTTTTTTAGCCGAATACAATACTCTGTGTCCAGGGGGTGAAGGATTTAGACCAAATCCCATCACTATTATTTTAGAAGGTGAGTTTAATCAGAATAATGACTATTAACAACTGCAACTAGATAAAAGGCCACATTTTCAAAAGTCCATATAATACATGGATTCTGAGGGAAGACTTCACATTTATTGTACCAAAAAGCCCTAGATTAACACAAGTAGTACCACAGAGGATGGTTCAAGCTAATGACTGTACAGCAGATTCCCTATAAAAAATACTCAGAACCCCATCTGGGTGGGTGAACATAAGCTTTTGGGAGTGAAAGAAAGGGCTCATACATGTCCATGTTATTCTTTGTTAAGGCCCTTGAAAGTTTGTCCCCTTGAAAAGTACAGTAAAGCCTAAAAAACCCTACAGTTTACCAGTGAAAAGTTAACATTGGTGGAAACTTGCCAGTGGCATTCTGAATCCAATGTATTTTTGAGCAGTTCATGAAGGCATGAAAAATTAGAGGCCAGGTTTGCATGGACAGCAATAGAATTTGAACTCCATTATGTTCAACATGCTGAAAATGTGTTCCATAAAAGCTAGCTGTGTGGAATTATAGCATTTCATCTTCCATTTTATATTGAAGTACATGTGTAAGAGCAAAAATGCATGTGATGTTAATAGCTACTAGTCAGTCATATTTCAGTGGAGTGCTTCAGGTTCCTTGTTTCTTTATATATCACAGTGAGAATATGGTGCTTTCTCTTTGCAGACATCGATGAATGTCAGGAGTTGCCTGGTCTTTGCCAAGGTGGAAACTGTATCAATACTTTTGGCAGTTTCCAGTGTGAATGTCCACAAGGCTACTACCTCAGTGAAGAGACACGCATCTGTGAAGGTGAAATTCTTTAATAACTACTCTCCTCCCTGGACATACAGAAATATACAAACACTTTAGCCTTCCACCATGTTTATTTTTCCCCAGCTGTAGAAAATATGTTTAGTGGCAGATTGTGGACAAAAAACTGGTGGTGGTTTCAAATGGTGAGGTGTAATAAAAAGAGTACCTTAATTAGAATTCCATGTAATTCATATTAGGAAAGGACTTCAAGGATTTGCTAATTCTTCTCTGTTGCACATGGTGTAATGATAACTTTATAGATTTTGTGATACCCCAGTATTAATGACGCTTCTCTTGTTTGTAAATACAAGCAAGTATTGTATGTACAGTAAAAGCTGCCTTAACTGGCACCTTACAAGCCGGCAGGCTGGTTAATAGAGCATGCTGGCTTGTAAGGTAAAAGTGAAACCGGAAGTGCCCAC